GTGGGGGGTTGGGGAAGGGGGGCCCGCCCGCCTGGAGGGTCTCTGTGTTGGATTCTTAGTTGATTGTAGGTCCCCTCCATACAGGGCGGGGGCAATCGGTTGTTTCTGCCAGCGCCTTCTCTGAACAGGCTTGGTGCGGGGTGGGTGGGGTGGCGCGTCGGGGTGCGGGGGGGGAAGCTAATTAGGTTTAAACACCGGGGGCTTGGGTGGGTGTGATAGGGAATCCGAGGCCTGCTCGGGTGGGTTGGTCTACGGGATGGACTTTGCTTCTTTTGCCCATATTTTTCTGCAAGCTTTCTTTTGTGTCTTTGGTCGGGGGTCACGTCCGCCTTGGGGGTCCGATAAAACGGGACCTGCGGCCGCACCTGGGGCCTTATCTCACTATGGATTGCATACTACGCTTAGTAATCCTCTCTCATAACCATAACCCTTGGGGGGCTCGGCTTTTAAATTCACTCTACATCATCACTAGGGCAGGCTCAATTTTTTCCAAGTTTTTTTAATTAATATTCCGCAGGCCAACTTTCTAGCCCTGTTCCACTGTTGGTTCGCTTATCACTCTTCTTGGAGAGCCAGAGAGCTTAATCTCTGCTAGACTGTGTGTCCATGTTTCCCACACCAATAATGACGTCTTCACAATTCTTCCATTCTTGCGTTCTTTTTGTTTCAGAATATACATAGGTTTAAAACTTTGGCATAGAACTGCTGCTCCTGGATTGTCTTTCTGGTTGTTGCCCAACAATAGTAGCGTTGGTTTGATTAGGGGGTTTCTTTGTACAACTTGAACTAGGTTCGGCGATAACGCACTCCCACTTTACTACTTATCATTGATCTCTTCTTCATTTCAATGGGGAAATTCTTCACCTTATTGGTGTACGGTTGGCACTAGAAGCTTTCTTGGGGGGCCCATGGACCCACTTATTTTCCGAAAAAATAGAACAATGAGAAACAGCACAGGGAAAACACTGTAATAATACAAAATTATTCGAGTGTTTGTTGGATGTTACCGCGGGAGGTGGCTGTGTAAACATGGCCACGGGCGGCTCATGTGAGGCTGCGAGGGCGACATTTGGTCGCGTCTCGGGACGAAAATCGGTGAGCGGGTTTTTAATCGGTATGCGCGGCAAAAAATTATGCTGATTTTAAAAGTAATCGGTTATTGCGGAATAATCGCTATGTGATGCCCATTCGTATTGGCGGGGGGGTCTACTGTATTTCACTGTATCTCGATCTGCTGACAGCAGGGGTTGCAAGCTTCTGTATGAGGCACAAGACGCGCACACGTAAGGCCTCACTTTTTGGTTTGGACCTGCCACCCTTGTCTGCACTTCTTGGAATGGAGTAGAGAACCTGCGCAGATGTTGCATCTCATCGCTGGATCAAATCCTGGATAGATCTGTCATTTGGAGCAGAGTCTGAATCTGGAACACATCGTTAAAAGGCATTTTGATGTCAATGAGATAGTCTGTTGATCAATGAAAATGCTGGCCCACAGATGGCGCTCCAACTTCATCTGTGCCCTACTTGTATGTTTTCATATACAACAGAAAAAAAATAAAAAAAAAAAAAAGAAAAAAAAAAAAAAAAAAAAAAAAAATGCTTTCAAATGTGTGATGTAGGTCAGATCTTAGCTTGTCGATAAAGTTAGGAATTCTTTAACTTGAATGTAGTTTCAGGTAAAGGCTAGGGGATCCTTAACCTAAACCTTGTCAATCCTAGTGAAAAAAAAAAAAAAAAAAAAAAAAAAAAGCTGGAATTATTCTGTCAGCTGACCTTTCTTTTTTAAGACATTAAGGACAATGATCACAAAAACAGTCAGGAAGATATCGGGGTGGGTATTGAGGAACTTTTCATAACAAGGGAAATAATGCCGATGTGTGCCCTCGCTGTCACACATCAAATCACTAGAGCTCTCTCACTTAGAATATTGCTCAGGTGCTGACAGCCCATTCACAGCAGGAGAATATCAGAGCGGGAACAAATGCAACATTCGTTTACCACATGAACTATGTATTATTGCATTACTAATCTTAAGTTAATCTCTATGTTTGCCTGAAATGCTCTGCATACAAAGTGGCTTTTGGCACGTACACCCAACTTTACATTCCTCTGGTACAAAACTGGTGTAATTTTGTCAACATAAAACATCTTTGTCTTTAATATATACTGGAAAGGACCTCGAGGGCTGATCCAAATCTGCACGCGGCCATAACATATTGGAGTAAGAGATAGAAGAGGAAGTGTAAAATAAACCCATTGAGGAGCAGGGGTGCAGTGAGGACAATAAGGGAACACTATCAACCTCTGAGGTCCCAGACTATTCAACATCTTACCAGAAGATATCAGAAATACTGCTGGAACAAGTGTAGAAGCCTTCAAGAGGAAACTGGACGAGTATCTTCACCAGGTGCCAGATCAACCAGGCCATGATGGATATGTAGGGCAGTGGCTCTCCAACAGCAACAGCCTGGTTGACCAGGCAAGCACCAGACAAGCCTGGCCCATGGCTGGGCTCAAAGAGTAGAGAAACTCTCAAAATTCTTCAAAGGTATTTAAAGGTAAGTATTTTAGAGAGGTTATATATTAACGAACTTAAACCTGGACTTTAAAATAATGATTCTGAAATAGCTTTTTACTCTGAAATAATTGTAGTTTACCCTCTTTTGATGAGTTCAGTTTTCTGTTTATATTTAGTGTTGTGCTTTGTCTTGGAGAGTGACTGCCTGATTCAGGCAAGACATAACATCAACTTACCGGTTTGTTTACCTTTATTTTCTTCTCTCTCATGTTTGGCTAATGTGTTATTATATTTTCTATTACATAAAAGTCTTGCACAATATTATGTCATGTTCCAGAATATGATTCCTGAAGCACTGAATTTTTAAAATAAATATTCTGTGAAGGTATTCTTAGTCTTTCCCACCAGTCAAGTGATGTATTCTTATACTGGAATTTTCAACCAGAATTTTTTTTACATATCTGATGCTCATTTCTTCTTATGTATGTTTGCAGTGCATCACTGAAGAACCCTCATGGGTTGACTACTTTTTGTGAATATAATACAGTATTAATATTAGTACAGTGGAACCTTGACTTATGAGCTTAATCCGTTCTGTAACCTAGCTCGTAACTTAATTTGCTTGTACATCAAATCACTTTTCTTCATTTAAATTAATTGAAATGCCATTAATCCGACCCAGCGGCAGGACAAAATATTTCAATATAATGTTGATATCAGCTCTATGGCTTATCTATCACAGTTCATATAATATCACATAATAAACAACATAAAAAACAGAGAAACGTGATATATACTCTAGAATGAATAAAATAGGCCATAATATGACATGTGATGATGGCAGCAGAAGCAGCATCAGCATCCGTGTTTCATCCTTTTTCTATCACTTAATCACTTTACAAACTTGCTACACTTCATCACTGAACTTAATTGATATAATTTTTGTTTAACCCTTAAACTGTCCAAATGTAGATTTACGTTTACGTGCGTAGAGCTCCGAACGTAGATGTACGTTTTTTACATGCTTTCAAATGTAAAAAAATAAGGTCGGAGCGCTACACATGTAAATGTAAATTACGTTTGGACAGTTTAAGGGTTAATCACTGAACTTAACTGATGCAATTTGTTTTGCTTGATTGCTGAACTTAACTGAAAACATTTTCTTCAGTTCCATGGAAATCATCCTCATTTTCTTCTCAGCACTGTCATTTGCACTTACTTTCATAGGACCCATGGTTAGAGAAAAAAAAATTTGGCCAAATGACTAAAAAAAATGCAAACATGCACAAGAGAACTGCTCCCATGGCAGTGTAAACATGTGGACTCCTTACCGGATGTTTTGCCATTGGCTGCGCCATCTAGTGGCAGCATTCTGAATTTCTATTACGTATTATGTATATGTATTATTATTATTACTGTTAATATTACTACATACAGTTGTACCCCGAGTTTCGGCCATAATTCGTTCCAGAAGGCTGTTCGAGTGCTGTTACCGAATGAATTTGTTCCCATAAGGAATACATAATGTAAATTAGATTAGTCCCTTTCAGACCCCCGAAAATACACTTACAAAAGCACTTATAATAATACACTTAAATAATTGTTCAAGTTGGGAGCTGTACGAAACTCAGGGTATAATTATTATTAATTTAGGGAAGTGAAGTGCACTCATTATTATTATTAATTATTACTATTATTATATTATAATAATAAATTCTTCTTCTTCTTCTTCTTCTTCTTCTTCTTTCTTCTTCCTTCTTCTTTTTCCTTCTTCCTTCTTTTTCCTTCTTCTTTCTTTCTTCCTTCTTCTTTCTTCCTTTCTTTTTTTTTTTTTCTTTTTTCTTCTTTTTCTTTTCTTTTTCTTCTTTCTTTTTCTTCTTTCTTTTTTCTTCTTTTTTTTCTTTTCTTTTTTTCTTTCTTTTTTTTTCTTTCTTTTTTTCTTTTTTTTCTTTTTTTCTTTCTTTTTTTCTTTCTTTTTTTCTTTTTTTTCTTTTTTTCTTCTCTTTTTTTCTTCTCTTTTTTTCTTCTCTTTTTTTCTTCTCTTTTTTTTCTTCTCTTTTTTTTCTAATTTTTTTTTTTTTTTTTTTTAGCCATTTGGCCAATTTTTTTTTCTAAGCATGATTCCTAAGAAAGTAAGTGTAAAGGACACTGCTGAGAAGAAAAGTAGATGATTTCCAGGAAATTAAAGCATGAAATCATAGATAAACAAGCGAGGTGTGCAGGTTTTGCGTTGAGGGGGGGAGCTGGCTCGTAACTTGGATGTTGGTTCATAACTCGGAGCAAAAAATCGACTGATTGATGGCTCGTATCTCAAAAATCTCGTATATTAGGACACTCACAAGTCAAGGTTCCACTGTATTTGATTAGCAACCCAGTAATGTGGTATAATCCCAGTACTGTAACATGCTGTATTCATTGCCATACTTTTTTGTGCTTGGAATATGAACCTGTGAGGACTTTAATGTTCTAATTTTTTTGAAAGAATGACTCCAGTGTTGATGAACGTCCAAGCAACATAATGACTGTACGTGTGAAGGTTGAGCAGCCAGACATTGCACTTGTAGAGGATGTGTCATCCCTTGACACTTCTTGCATCATCCTTCATGTGAGTTCTGCTTATATAATCTACTATACCATATATTTAGATTTTTCTCAACATTGAACTGATGGTGTTTCTTTACCCCTCCCCCCCTTTTTTTTTAGTTAAAGTGACCCCTAAAAAGGAAAATCTATTCATCATGCATTAACCCTTACAGGTTCCAGATCCCCAATCTGAAACTTGTCCACAGGGTCCAAGAATTTCCAAAAAAAAATTTTATGTTGCTTATGAAATGGTAGAGAATCTTTTTCTGAAGGTAATAATAAATGGAAAATTGACAAAATTATGCTCTCGTGAATTTTGCTGTCAGCGATATTTACACATTGGTGATTTTGCCCACTTTGACTCCCATTTTAGGTCGATTACATTATTCCAGTTAACCAAATTCTTATCTATTTCACTAGCATTACTTCTGTTTTATCGATTGAGTACACAAAATTGCCCAATCAGCTATTTGAACTATTCTATAAAGTGTTTGGAAATTGGTAATTTGGCCAATTTCACACAGTTCAAAATATTTCAATTTCAAAATAGGGTCCAGAATAAACAATGCAGGCATTCTTGGCACTAAAATAACATTTCCTCTGTTTATTAGTTACATTTTCAGGCTTTACAGATGAATTCCATTTTGATTTTTTATTCACGTAAAGAATTTTTATTCACGCCAAAAAATAGAAGATTTATTGTTGCACAGTATTGTAATAATTGTATAAATAATATCGGCACATTCGTGAGCACACATTAGACACACCAGCTGATGTGTTGGATGTGTGATGTTATTTGTTTACTCTTGAACATCGGCAAATATTAAACATTTCCGCTATTTTGAGCTCAGTTTCAAGCCATATTCAGTACTAAAACCAGTCAAAATCATCTCAAAATCATCCCAAGAAACTGTGAATACATCTGTAAAAAACATTCGAAAATACACTGTAAAGTTGCTGTTTTAATCCAAAAACACTGTCACAGGTTTTTTTTTCTCATTATGCACTGCATGCTGCAGGATTTGTTTTATATGGTGCACACGTAACACACTGCTACATTATCTCATATCTAGGACCAGATTTACCAGTCACAGCTTATGTGAGTGAACTACACTCATGTCATAGTACTATAGCTTGGACCCTGACTTCAGAGCCATAGAACTATAGGACAGACCCTCAAAGGGTTAAGTAGCTGTCTTGCCAGAAGTGTGCAGATATCACAATTTAAATAACCTTCCAAACTGCAATATCTTCACCTCTCCTTCAAAGTGCAGGCACTGTACTTCCCATCTACAGGAAGTCATACTAATCAGTTTTCCTTTGCATATGTTATCTTGCTTACATTCAAAGAGCATGTCAAACCATAAAACCCACTTGTCTCTACTCAATCCAGTCTAACACTCACACAAGCTTGCTGAATACTCTAGTTCCTAGCATTCAAAAGCCCCTTTACCTCTTCCCTCCATCCCTTTTTACAGTGACAGCTACTCCTCCATCCATCCATTCTAGATTCATACAACCACTTGGTCATATTATTTTGCCTCATATTTTCTAAATACAGTGGACCCTCGCCTAACGATATTAATCCGTTCCTGAGAGCTCATTGTTAGCCGAAATTATCGTTAACCGACTTAATTTTCCCATAAGAAATAATGGAAATCCAATTAATCTGTTCCAGACAGCCAAAAGTGTTAATTTTTTTTTTTTTTTTATGAAATAATTTCCCTACAAAGAAAACAATAAGACATGCACAATAACTACATAAATAAATGTTAAAATGACACTTACCTTTATTGAAGAGTACTGATGAGTGATGAGACACTGTTTTTCTTGAACACTGGGATTTTCAGAGTGATACACCAGTAAAGACTTCACTTTGCAATCCCTACTAGCATTACAACAAAACATGAGAGTTAGCCTGTCTTTCATAGGCTTGTGTCCTGGGAGTGCCTTTTCCTCCTGAGTAATGTAGGTCCTGTTTGACATTTTCTTCCAGAACAGGCCTGTTTTGTCGCAATTGAACACTTGTTGGGGGATGAATTTTTCACCTTCGCCATGCCTTATCACACTGTGTATGCCACTACAATTCTTAAATCTCTCAAACCAACCTATGCTGGCCTTAAATTCACCAATATGAGCACTAGTTCCAGGCATTTTTTCCTGTTCACCTGGGTGTTAGTTGACTGTTGTGGGTCTCCTGGCAGACAAGATTAAGGACCCCAATGGAAATAAGTTACAGTCCTCGATGATGCACTAACTTTCTTGGGTTATCCTGGGTATCTAACCCTCTTGGGTTAATCGTTTCTCGGTAATTGTTTCACGTTAAGCCACACCAACAACACTCTCTCCACATCTTTGAGTAGTACAGCTGATGGTGGTGCAGCAACAGCTGACTGTGGTGCAGCAGCAGCTGACTGGTCCAGCAACAGCTGATGGCTGGTGCAGCAACCAGCTGATTGTTGGTTGCAGCAGCAAGCTGACCATTTGTCAGCAACACTGACGGTGGATGCAGCAGACTGGTGCAAACAACAGCACTACCGTGGTTGCAGCAACTCATGACTGCGGTTATGATAGTAATTTTCTCACCCTTTTTACCACAGGGCTGGCACTAGAAGCTTTCTTTGGGCTCATGGTGGCTTATTTAGCAGTTACAAGCACAATAAACAATGGAATAATACAAAATGTATCAAATGTATGCATGCAACCCTCCACCCTGGCTTGTAAACAATGATGGCAAGGCAGCTGAGGCGCTCAGGCTGGATGGACAGGTTTGGGAGGAATCACGTTAGGCGAGTTTTTTATTGTTAAGTGGGCCAAAATTTTTACACTCAAATGCTTCGTTAGGCGGATTTAACGTTATGCGATGCGTTCATTAGGCGAGGGTCCACTGTATCTGAATCACCTCAATAATCTCTCCTCAGCCCACTTGACTATATATTTGGTAACCTCTGACTTCTCTGTCTAACATTTACACCACACATTACTCTTAAACATAACATCTCTACTGAATTTAGTCACTTTTTCACTACAGCATTTAACCCTTTCAGGGTCCGTCCCGTAGATCTACGGCTTTACGTTCAGGGTCCAAACCGTAGATCTACGCCATGAGCTCAGCTCACTCTGATAAACTGTGAGTGGTACATTTGGGCCTAGATATGAGAGAATACATCTATGTGGTATGTGTGCACCACATAAAACAGATCCTGCAGCACACTGTGTATAATGAGAGAAAAAAAATGAAATCATGGTTTTTCGATTAAAACAGCAACTTTGCAGTGTTTTTTCGTATGTTTTTTATAGATGTATTTGCGATTTCTTGGTCTCATTTGATAGAATGGAAGACATATTACAGAAATAGAGATGATTTTGATTGGTTTTAGCATTGGAAATGGCTTGAAACTGAGCTCAAAGTAGCGGAAATGTTAAATTTTTGCCGATATTCAAGAGTAAACAAACGACCTCACACGTCTAATATACGTCAGCTGGTGGGTCTAATATACATTCACAAATATGGTGATGATATTTATACAATTATTACAGTATTGCATAACAGTAAATCTTCTATTTTTTGGTGTGAATAAAAATTCATTATGTGAATAAAAAATCAAAATGGAATTTATTTGTAAAGCCTCAAAACATAACTAATGAACAGAGGAAATGTTAGTTTAGTGCCAGGAATGCCTACATTGTTCATTCTGGACCCTATTTTGAAATTGGAATATTTTGAACTTTGTGTTAAATTGGCCAAATTAACAATTTCCGATCACTTTATTTTGTAGTTGAGACAGTTGACTTGGCGATTTCTTGTGCTATATCGATAGAATAGAAGTAATACTAGTGAAATAGCTAAGAATTTGGTTGATTGGAATAATGTAATTGGCCTATAATGGGAGTCAAAGTCGGCAAAATCGCCGATTCGTAAATATCGCTGACACATCAAAATTCGCGAGAGCATAATTTCGTAAATTTTCCACCAAATTTCGTACTTTTTGTTTTATTACCTTCACAAAAAGATTCTCTACGATTTCATAAGAAAAAATAACAAATTTTTTTTTTTGAAAATTCTTGGACACTGGTGTGTGACTCCAGATTTGGGCCTTGGACCCTGAAAGGGTTAATTAATCCTTTCAGGGTCCGTGCTGCAGTTATATGGCTTTGAGACCAGTGTCAGTGCCGTAGTTCTATGCAGTGACCTCAGCTCAGTCAGATAATCTGAGAGTAGTAAATTTGGGCCTAGATATAAGTGCAATGGGTCTGTGGAAGTGTGCCCCATATAAAAAAAAATGTGCAGCATGCAGTGCATAATGTGGAAAAAATTTGCAATTATGTTTTTGGTTTAAAACAGTGACTGTAGTATATTTTTGTATGGCTTTTATGGATGTATTTATGGTTTCTTGGTCTCATTTAATAGAATGAAAGATATATTACAGAAATAGAGATGATTTTGATTGGTTTTAGGACTGAAAATAGCTTGAAATTGAACTCAATTTAGCGGAAATGTTCAGTTTTTGCCGATGCTCAAGAGTAAACAAACCACGTCATGCATCCAATATATGTTAAATTGGCGGTCTAATATGGGTTCGTGAATGCGCTGGTATTATTTATACAATTATTACAATATTGCATAAGAGTAAATCTTATTTTTTTGGTGTGAATAAAAGTTTGTGAATAAAAAATCAAAATGGAATTCATGTGTAATGGCTGAAGATGTAACTGATGAACAGAGGAAATGTTATTTTAGTGCTAGGAATGCCTGCATTGTTTATTATGGACCCTATTTGTAACTGGAATGTTTTGAAAGTTGTGTGAAATTGGACAAATTTCCACTTTCTGATCACTTTATTGGGGAGGTTAACTCTTTGACTGTCGCAACCCCCAATCCTGAGGTGTCTCCTGGTGTCGCAAAATTTAAAAAAAAAAAAAAAATAATTTTTTCTTATGAAATGATAGAGAATCTTTTCCCGATTGTAATGACACCAAAAAAACGAAATTTCATGGAAAACTGACAGAATTATGCTCTCG